GTTAAATTCCCTAACCAGAGAGGATACCACAGGATATTAAAGGCAGAGCCTTTGAATATCACTGTCTGTTCTTGCCCAAGAGACTTAATAATTAGCATAAATTGTATTCGAGATAATTTTTAATCGAGGCTATGAATAATGTTCAAGGAATATGATCATATGTAAAGATCTATATTGGCCCCTCTGCCCTTACAGGAGTAGAGTATATATATACCAGTCAGGTTTGAGCAGTAAAATAAAGCACTAGATAACTCAAATAGGAGGAGATGCAGCCTATGAATTTGAAGATCTGGGAAAGTGAAAGTCAGAGAAGCTGCTTTGAAGAATTGTGTTGGGATCCCAGGAAGTGGATTCTCTGCTCTGCAGCGGGTGATGAGGAGGAGTCTGGAAGCCAGTTCTAAAATATCCCATCTACGTCTGCAGAAAGGCTGCCCCAGGCTGCAGCCGCCAGTGGGGACAACAGTTCATCCTTCCCTTTTAGCTTCTCAGTCCCACACATCAGCTTCTCCTTGACACAATGTGACAAAACTCCTGCCAGCAGGAGAGTTCCCCAAACAGTTCCATAGCCTCTAGTCCTGCCTTGAAAGGAAGAAGCTAAGACTAGGGAGACTTTGATTTTTTTTTTTTGAACCCAGGGCCACTTAATCACTGAGTTATATCCCTATTTAGAGACAGGGTCTCGCTGAGTTTCTTAGGGCCTTGCTAAATTGCTGAGGCTGGCTTTGAACTCGTGATTCTCCTGCCTCAGCCTCCTGAGCTGCTGGGATTACAGGCATGCGCCAATGTGCCTGGCTAAGATTTTGACTCTTAACAAGCAATATCAGGCCCAGGACAAGAATCTGACAAGCCCAGCATCCTTTCCAGGAATGACTGAGGTCCACAACAGCCCTCCCCAATGCAACCTCCTGTGGTTACCAAAATGGTGTGTATTTGTGTTGCCCACTAGCACCCTATGTATGGCTATTGAACACTTGAAATGTGGCTAGTGCTACTGAGGGATGGAATTTTGAGTTTTATTTAATTTAAATAAACTTAAACGTAACTATCTATGTGTAGCTCAAGGCTGCTGTTTTGGGCAAGCAGGTGAGAACCCACATTTTTCCTCCGCCTGACCCCTTTTCTCTTCCATTTCATGGAAGACACTGTTCCCTGATTGGACCTGAATTTCCCTGATCCTGCTCTCTGGTATTTGTTGGGTTCATGGTGTGTCAAGAATTTCATGTGAGGTACTTGTTAGGGTGACTATGTGATTGGGGGAGGCAGGATTTCCCTGAGTTTATGAAATTGGTTTCCCAACTGCTTGTGATGCTCACTGCCTATTAAACATCAGTTGTGTATTTGGTGGCATTCAGTCTGAGACACACTCTCGGGACTGAACTTGGGCACTCTACCACTGAGCCACATCCCCAGCCTTATTTTGTATTTTATGTAGAGACAGGGTATCACTGAGTTGCTTAGCGCCTCACCATCACTGAGGCTGGCTTTGAACTTGCAATCCTCCTTTCTCAGCCTCCAGAGCCCTCTTGAGATGCACTCTCACCATGCAAACAATGTACGCGGTGGAGGTGCTGCTGATGTTTACCTACAGACCCAAATAATTGTGACAGCTAATTAGCCTGTTTGCAACATACACTTATCTCACAGAAATGTTTCCCAAATCTTTAGTCTGTGGCATTTTTTCCTTTTAGCAAGCAGTAGCAGAGAACAGAACAAAGACTACATAAATATTAATATAAAAATTCAGATGACGAGTTGCGAGTTGCCTTCTATGAAACAATATTTTAAAAAATGGCTCATGGTATTTAAAAAACTCATACACAGGGGCTGGGGTTGTGGCTCAGAGGAAGAGCGCTTGCCTAGTATGCGTGAGGCACTGGGTTGGATCCTCAGCACCACCTAAAAATAAATAAATAAATGTTTTACAAAATAAAATAAAGGAATTATGTCCACCTCCAACTAAAAAATAAATGTTTTTTTTAAATCATACACATAACACAAATTTGCTGTGTATAAAATTACTCCTAATTTATACAGTTGAATCTACATTTGATAGCTTCACAAAGATAGACCAGTGTTTTAACAAAAGATCCTCGATTGCCAGGTCTTCTGCCACTTTCTGAACCAATAGCTCACTTGCTATACATATAGGAGTTTATAAGCTCCTTTCTATTCGGTGTTCAAAAATGGCCAGCATAAAACTGGACTAATATAGGTGTTTGTGATTTCATGACACCTATTTTTCAGGCATACCAAAAAAAAAAAAAAAAAAAAGAAAGGAAAAAGAAACCTTAGCAAACCAGACTATCATTTGTTTCACTACTAATGGCTTAAATGTTACTATTTTTCATTTTTTTAAGTATTTACTTTCTACTGACTCCAAATACCTTTCTACTTTTGTCCTTAAAAAAGCAGAACAGAGGAATCCTTCTGTAGGCCTTTCAGGGTTTGTGAGAAGTGGGGTGAGAGGGACATAGATGTATGTAACCAAAGAAGTGAAGAAAATGATTTGATGATGTATCAGTGCATGATTTAGAATTTGACTAAGGAAAAAGTAACATGTTTTTTGACATTAAACTCATTTAAGTGTAAATGTTTGTAATGTTTTATAAAATAAAATGATAACTCAGCACTTTTTCTTACACTTAAATGATGTAGTTGTGGGATGCCAACGTCCTATTTCCGTTTCATTTCATTGTCCTATATTTTATTTTATTTTTCTTCCTTTCTTCTTTCTACTACCCTCTGTTTTTTTGTTTGCTTTTAATTTTTTGTAGTTATAAATAGACAAAATTCTTTTATTTTGTTTATTTTTATGCAGTGCTAAGGATAGAACCCAGTGCCTCATGCATGCTAGGCAAGTGCTCTACCACTGAGCTACATCCCCAGCTCCCTACCTTCTTATTTTTATTTATTATTTTTAGTTATACATGACAGCAGGATCCATTTTCACATAATTATACAAGCATGGATTATATCTTTTTCTCAGGCGGGCTCTGGAGGCTGAGAACCCCATTCTTATGGATGTACATGATTGTGGGAGTCATTGTGTTGTTTTCATGTATGTACACGGGAAAATTATGTCAGATTTATTCCACTGTCTTTCCTTAGCCTATCCACTCTCCCTTCCCTCCATTCCCCATTGTTTAATCTACTGCACTTCTGTTCTTCCATTCCCACCCCCCGTATTGTGTGTTAGCTTCCACATATCAGAGAAAACATTCAACCTTTGGTTTTGGAAACTAAACTATTCGCATAGCATGATAGTCTCCAGATCCATCCATTTGCTGGAAAATTTAAATAAACAATTTAAAATAGAAAAAAAAATTACTCACAAGATCTCAAAAAGTGGATGTGTTTTCTATTAATTTCAGAACCAAGTATCTTGAAAATGGTACCACAAATGTTTATTGAACATGCATAAATTTCAATGTATACAGAGTTTGGCATCCTCATTAATTACCTCTTTACCTGATGATGGATAAAACTAATTAGGATTTGTCTTCAGAATAGCGTAAATTCTATTTCGTGGGGGGGGGGGGGGGCGAATCACTGAAGAAAAGAGCCTAGTCAGCAAAACCTCATATAATACTGCTTTCTGGATTTTTCTTCACCTTCAACACAATTCATCCTTATACAGTTGTACCTAGGACATGATTTGTGATTTGCAGTTACAGTGATTCTGGGCACTCCCTCTGATGGAAGCAGCTCTGTATTTGATGGTCATTTTCCTGTGGACCAAAGGGCAGGCTGAGGGGAAGGATGCCAGGGTAGGAAAAAGAGCGCCAGTACTTGGGGGATGTGTCTGCTTAGGTCTCAGCATGGTGCCTGGGAGGAGCTGGAAAGCCGCCTGACCTTAGATCCTGTGAGCAAACAGGTTATTTATACTTAGTCACCCTCTGGGAGGTGAAAGCAGGACAAAAGAGGGACAGGAAAAGACAGAAGGGACTCAGAGCATAAATATTGAAGCTTTCCTCTTCTAGATGCATTTAGGGCTCTGCCATTCCTCCTCCACATTACCATATTAATGCATTTCCCAATGGGTACCTCCTGTTTAGCACCTGATAACCCTCTTTCTCACCCATCCAGCATAGTATTCCTTGGTCCTACTGCCTCAGCAGCTTGTGGTACTAACAGGTGATGAGAATGCTCATTGATTGACAGGACAAGATCTTACTTTCAGATGAGCCCACAGATTCAAATAGTGAGTGTTGAAATCTCATTCAGGTTCTTGTAAAATCATATTAGGTTTTGATGCAAAATTAAAGACTCACTAATGGAAAGCTGTCAGCGCAGTGTGCGGTCATGATAACTTCATTTACATTAGAATCAAGCCATCACTTTCTTCAGTTTAATCCTCAAACCTTTTGGCTTCCGCTGTAAGGAGGATGCAGATTACAGTGTGTCTGTCTTGTGAAGTATTTCTGAGAGGTGTAGATGCTCAGTCATTCTCAGTGGAGCATAAAACAGGCAGTACAGTTCAGAGGTTCAATCAACATGCTGAAGTGGTTCAGGAAAATCTTTTGTTTCTTTTGCCCCTGGTAAAATTTGACAAGGTTGAAACATTCTATTTTGATTTTCACATGGGAAACAAAAAAATAAATAAATCAAAAGAATGATGGATAACCTACTAAGAAATTTTGCTTGCTCTTAAATTACTTGTTTACATGGATTAATGGTGGAATTGGTTGGTTTTTTACAAGAGTGATTAAAAGGGCTGTGGATTGTATTTCCTAAACAGGATTTGCAAGGCTTTTAATGCTTTTGAAAGGCCAAGTTGGAACCAAACTGAGCTGTCAGGCTTTTTTTTTTTTCTTTTCTTTTAGGCAAACTTGATATTGTTCTTAGAATTAAACTGACCTCCCTTAAATGGGAGTTTAGGATGGTGCTTTCCAAATGCAGGCTCAGGGTCTTGTTATGTTGCAAATATTGATCCTTTGTTCCTCTTACCCAGGGAGGCAGAGGTGCACTGGTAAAAGCTCTCTTGTCTTATCTCTTTGCAGGCTTGTTGATTGGTGCTGGCTGTGCCCTCTACCCCTTGGGCTGGGACAGTGAGGAAGTCCGGCAGACTTGTGGCTACATTTCTGGCCAGTTTGACCTGGGTAAGTTCTCTTCATGAATGGCACTTCTTTTACAAAAAGAACCTCACGTGATATTTCCTAGAAGCAGAAGGTGGAAAAATAATGGAGAAGGAAACTATATTGCAGCTGGTAGTCATGTGTGACGATATATGTACACTCTTTTATCCATTTTTTTAGTGATAATCTACTGTTTGTCCAGCACAATGATTTGTACTGTAGATGCAAGGATAAGAAATGGCCCTGCTTTCAAGAGTTTAATATTCATTGATCAATTCATTCAAAATCACGTATTTACTCATGGGCTGAGAACAACTGTGGAATTCGCAGTCTAGCTGAGAAGACAAAGCAAATAGAACAATCAAGGAAATGACAATGAGGGCAGAGGAATCCGAAGCAATTTGAGTTCGAGGTAATAGACCACTTTCTGAAAGAGGTGAGAATGGAGACAGGTCTTGGACAGGGTGAGTCTGTGGCTTCTCAGGAGTAGACAGAGCACTTAGCAGTTAAACAAAGGAACAGTACAGCAAAGGGACAAGACGAGATGAGAAAAGCTCAATGGGAAACTACTTTGAGACCCTCCCCATCAGTAGGCATAGGTGCCACTGTAAAGATATGGTGAGTAGGTAAGAGTTCACACACTGAGGAAGGGCACCTCATCGATTTGCTTTTCTGTGTATTGAGAAAATTTTAGGTATTTTCCAACTGTAGCTATAGAGTCTCTTACTGGGCGACCTATCAAAATTTTTCACAGTACCATATACTCTGCATCATTTTAATTTGTAATAGTTGGGTAACGTTTCACTTCATTGATTAACCTACACTTACTTAATTGTTACAGATGTCCTAGGCCAGAGGGGGTCTTGATTTCAGGGAGTCCCAGTAGATCAGATCTGGGCACTCACTCCAAAAATCAAATGGAAAAGATGGAAAGCAGGGAAGGAATTTTTTCAGTATATCCATACTGGGGAAACAAGGGGAGACCAAATGTCCTCAGCCCAGTCTTCCGGGGGTACTGATAAGAGTTGTAACTTTAAATGTGGACAGAAACAAGAGTGTGGGGCAAGAAGTTTGCACAGGTAAGCCGCCTTGGTCAAAGTGTGGTCTGGTTGACCAACCATCAACTCAGGTCTGGTTCTGAGAAGTCCTGAAGACTCTGGTGAAGTCATTATCCCTTGTGGGACAAGATGATTGCTTCTGCTTTGGGGGACAGCTGCAGTTTGTATTGGGGGGTAATGGTTTCTATTAGTGGGGGATGGTTCCATCATGGTGTGATCCGTTTGTAAGGCTCACTGTTCCTGGAATCTTGAAGATGTCTTGCTTTTATCTTAGTGTCTTCAGTCTTAAAGTGAAGTGGCACAAGAGAAGTTAGGTGAAACTAGAACTAATCATCCTTGTATCGCCAGTCTTTAGGCAGACACTCCTCAAATGGTTAATATATCTGTTGCATAGTTGAGCAGGAATCTGACCCAAAGATTAAGGTAGAAAGGAGACAGATACAAAATGAAGACAGAGATGGGCGTGGTGGTGTATGCCTGTGATCCCAGAGGCTGAGGAGGCTGTTGCAGGATTATTGTAAGTTCAAAGCCAGCCTCAGCAAAAGCAAGGCACTAGGCAACTCAGTGAGACCCTGTCTCTAAATAAAATACAAAATAGGGCTGGGGATTTGGTTCAGTGGTTAAGCACCCTGGCTTCCATTCTTGGTACCAAAAAAAAAAAATGAAGGCAGAGATGCCAAGTTTTGGGTATGTGTGTTTTTGGTTTTGACTTTTTAGTTACCCATCAGACATCTTTAAGCCCAAGAGTCAGTTCTTCTTAGTAAAAGCAGCCTCTAATTCTCTATTATATAACTACTTCCTTTTTCCTTTGTGGTTGAAGTTAGTGTATTCCAGTTTCTGTTGTTTTAAGACATATGATACTGAATCATTTCATGACTGTGTTATCTCTACTGAGTTATTTCCTTCAGAGTATTTTTCTAGAATTAATATTAATAGATTAGAGAACCCACAAAACACTTACTGCTATATGGAAAAGTAAGTATGTTTTCCTCATTCATCTCCATGTTCATGGCTAAGGCTCCTATAGCAAAAGGCAGATTAATAAAAGAGTACAAATTTACTTAAAATAAGTTTTGCATGACAAGAGAACCTTTTATTTTGGCAGTGCTGGGAATCAAACCCCGGGCTTCGTGTATACAAAGCAAGCACTCTACCAACTGAGCTATATCCCCAGCCCAATAAGAGAAGCTTCATAGGAAATAAAGACATGATGAAAAAGGGTAAACTTGTGTACGTTTTATGCAGGTTAATGAGGAAGTGGGTAGTCATGGAGAAATGTAATTAGACAATGGGAACACAATGGAATGGAGGTAGATCCGGGGAGAGCTAGTGAGGCCAGTTTGTTCAGATTCCTCTGTGTCCCTGTCTTCAGAGCTAACGGCTGTGTTGTAGTACGCTGCTGTGACTAAAAGATCTGACCAGAACAATTATAGAAGAGGAAAGTTTATTTGGGGCTCATGGTTTTAGAGGTCTTAGGATCCTGTCTCCTGCTTCAAGGGGCAGTTCACACAATCCCTCCTAGTTTTATAAGATCTATAGGGGAGAAGGCAAGGTAAGGTCAGAGTGACCTTCCTGCTTCTGTTATTTTCTCAAATATATTTGGGAGCAGCACACATAATGTGTCCCAAAGCCAACTGTTGCATAATGATAGCAAGTGTATTTTCCATAAGGAAGGAACAGATTCCTGACAGTTTATGTTACAGCTGGTTAATAACTTCGTCATCTTCTTTTCACATGACATATCTCACTCTAAGAAGAAAACTTCTGTTGGTCAAATGGCAGTATTAGTAAATGCCAGATCATTGATTTCTATGTTAGAACATACCCATGAAGATTTTTTAAGATAATGAAGAACTGATACAGTATCAGAAGTCTGTGAATTTCAAAACAAACCAATTGTATTAGACTCAATGGATGACAACCACCCTGCTTTCCTCAAAATTAATTCTGAGTCCAAATACTAACCTTCTTTTTCTTTTCTTTTCTTTCTTTCTTTTCTTTTTTTTTGGTACCAGGGATTGAACTCAGGGGCACTCAACCACTGAGCCACATCTCCAGCCCTTTTTTTGTATTTTATTTAGAGACAGCGTCTCACTGAGTTGCTTACCACCTCACTTTTGCTGAGGCTGGCTTTGAATTTGCTATCCTCCTGCCTCAAGCTTAGGAGCTGCTAGAATTACAGGTGTGAGCCACTGCGCCTGACTTTTAAATACTCACCTAATTTGCATGGATAAAAAGAATCATAGCTTCCCCTTTGCCTGTTCTCCTCTCCTTTAGGACAGGTTTTCCTGTCTGGATTAGTTTTCTGATTGGCACAAATGTAGAAAAGAGAAAAAAAAAATGCTGGCACAAAATTGTCCACCAGCTTTTTTGTTTTGTTTTTTGGAAAGCAAACTGTGCCCAGGGAGATATTTTAATATGATGTTTGGCATTTTTCTTTCTCCCGTGTTTGAAGCATTCCTGGCTGTTCCACGCAGGCCCAGACTTGATTAGAATCCTGTTCTTGCTGACCTGTTGTTATTGTGCATTGCTATATTAATTAGCAGATCATAATGAAACTCCCTTCCTGTTACTGCTGCTGTTTTCCTACGGCACCCTAATATTTTGTATCCTCTCAGACTTTGGGTTAAAAATTTGAATGTCACATTAAAACCTAAAGACACTTGTGATTTTTTTATTCATTGGTGATCATAATTTCTTACTGAATTCCATAAAACCATTTTGAGGAATGATAGTCCTGTTTTAATTTCTTCCCTTTTGCTAAATGTCTCTTAGACTGGATGAGAAGGTGCAAAGTTATCATCTACAGATAAAAGGAATTCTAGGTACCCTGAAAAATATTTTGTGCTTATTGACCTCTGTTGCTTTAGGTTTTTATTTATTTATTTATTTTTTTTGTTTTTTGTTTTTTTTTTTAAAGAAAGAGGAGAGAGAGAGAGAGAGAGAGAGAGAGAGAATTTTTTTTTTTTAATATTTATTTTTCAGTTCTCGGCAGACACAACATCTTTGTTTGTATGTGGTGCTGAGGATCGAACCCAGGCCGCACGCATGGCAGGCGAGCGCGCTACCGCTTGAGCCACATCCCCAGCCCTTAGGTTTTTATTTTGGGAACTCTGTTATCTTTTCGTTCAAAAGAGACCCAAAGAGAAACTGTACATCACTAGGCCCATCCCACCTAATTTCCTATGCTTTCTTCCTTTAAAAACTTGTTATTACTCCCCTGAACTCCGAGGATGGGTAAACTCTGTGGATTAGTGAAGTCAGAAATAACAGCGCTAGCCGGGTGCAGTGGTGCATGCCTGTAATCCCAGTGGTTCAGGAGGCTGAGGCAGGAAGATTTCTAGTTGAAAGCCAGCCTCAGGAATTTAGAGAGGCCTTAAGTAACTCAGTGAGACCCTGTCCCTAAATAAAATATAAAAAGGGTTGGCGATGTGGCTCAGTGGTTTTTGTGCTTGGTTCAACCCCCTATGCCACAAAAAAGAAAAACAGAAATTACAGAACTAAATTGAGAGTGCATTTAGGACCAGGGCTGGTGGACAACATGAGTCCAAGGGTGAGCATCCTCCCTAAGGAGGGCTCTGGGGCCACCTTTCAGTGGTATGCACACTGCTGGTCCCAGCCACACCCTGCCTCTTCTGAGTATGCAAGCTCATCTCTACCTCATTTCAGAGAGGACACTTTGTGGGCACATGGTCCTCTCAAAGGTTGGGAAACAGTAATGTTAGTAAAGCTCCTGCAGTCCTTTGTGTGGACCCTGGGTCCCTTTCTTGCCATGCTGGGGTTTTTGTTTGTTTGTATGTCGATGAAGCTGGGAATTGAACTCAGGGCCTTGCTCATGCTAAGCAAGTGCTCTACAACTGAACTACGCCCCTGGCCCTGGCATCCTGTTTTTGAATTGCTGTTACTCTCTTGGCCAGAGCATCCTGAAAGAAGTATTTGCTTTGGTTTCTCCATGGTGGATCATTT